CATTCAACTGTCCATCTTATAATAAGCAACCTTTGCACCACCTGACTCACTGGTGAAAACCACAAACGGTGGGCAGGAAAGATATGAATACCAGAAAAAGCTGAGGGCCTCCTGTAATGTTCATGTGATTATGTTTGTGCTAATGCAGAGAGCACAGAAAGCCAAAGGCTCCCTCTGCAGAGCCTGGTTCATTAAAAATACATTGGTCATTGACAAGAGCATATGGTGCACTGACTGGGAGGCATGGCCACCACATAGGAGAAGGTAGAACTGGTTTATTCATGGTGAGCAATTTATATGTGCAATTCTGCTTCATTCTCAATGGCATGGCCATTGTAGCCTCTTTGCCAAGGTAATGAGATAAGGCTTCAGAAAGAGGTATAGGCTCTCAGCATAAAAAGTGTTTCGTTGTTGCCCTGGCCGGTTTGGCTCAGTGGATAGAGCGTCAGCCTGTGGACTCAAGGGTCCTGAGTTCAATTCTGGTCAAAGGCATATTCCTGAGTTGTGGGCTCGGTCCCCAGTGGGGGGTGTGCAGGAGGCAGCCGATCAATGATTCTCTCATCATTGATGTTTCTGTCTCTCTCTTCCTTTCCTTTCCTCTCTGAAATCAATAAAATTTATATATGTATTTTTTTAAATATTTTGTTGTTTCTTAAAATGGATTATTTGGAAGTCAATTCCAAATGGGGGATAGGATTTAGAACTCTATATCGGGGTGCACATCTATTTTAATTTTAGAGTAACTGAGGGATGCCGGGCCTAGTTTGCCTTAATGAAAACCTGTTATACCCAATGAATAAATCAGTAGGTAACTTGCCATGAGGAACGAGGGGAAGTCACTCAGGAACTCTGACCTTGAGTGGGGTGGGGAGGTGGAACTTGTGAGGCTCTCTCCTCAGGAAGGCACTGAAGGGAGGAGTCCAGCGCCTGGGATACCACCCCTCTGGGCTCTGCAGGTAAAGCCCAGCCCCTCCAAAGCAGAGTGAGCTGCAGGCAGCCTGTGGGGTTCAGATGGGAGATCAGCCCTGGAGGGATGGTATTGAATAAGCCAATACTCTGACAAGCAGCTATTTTAACAATTAAAAATAAGATTTATCCTAGTTTACCAGTCAAATGGTACAGAGTATGTATTACGGGTAGTGTGTGAGGGAATGTGGATTTGCACATACAGGGATGGGAGTATGTATTGAGTTGACATAGGGCAGGTGAATATTATGGGCAAATTAAATAGTGATATTAAATACAAAAAAATCTTGTTGATTAATAATAGTCAAGAGAAAGAGCACAAATATGAAAAGTATGCACAGTACCAAATTTTACATATTTTCTCATTCAGTCCTCACAACAGCAATCCTATGAGGGAGGTGCTGTTATTTTCCCAGGCTTTTACCAGAGGAGACTGACACATAAAGAGGAGAGGAGACAAGCCCAAATTCATGTACCTAGAGAAGTAGCAGAGCTAAATTTAGACCCAGGCAGAGCTTAAAATTTAAGAGTCCTTTCTTTTTGTCCTGGTAGGTGTTACTCTAGCTTAGAACACAGGCTTGTCACCAAAGGATCTTCTGTTCAACTCTCTATTAAGGGCACCTACTTGGGTTGTGAGTTCAGTCCCCAGCCCCTGTTGGTGCACATGCGGGAGGCAACCAATCAAAGTGTCTCTCTCACATTGATGTTTCTCTCTCTCTCTCTCTCTCTCTCTCTCTCTCTCTCTCTCTCTCACTCTCTCTCTCATCCTCCCTCCCTCCCTTCCTCCCCTCCCTTCTCTCTCTCTCTCCCCAAACCTTCGACCTTCCCTTCTACTTTCTTGCTCTTTCCCTCAAAAGAAAAAAAAAAAAGAGTCCTTGCTTTTAAGTTATACAACAAACTGCTTTTAATATCTAAATTGGAATTGAGGTAAAATTTGGCACCAAGCTAATGATTTAAAGTTATTTCCAAGGTTTATGCTAAATTGTAGTAAAAAGTCAAGTGGATGCCAATACCTCCTCTCTTGAAGGAATCATACCACTCCCACATTAAAAGCCAAGCCTCCATTTCTATTGAGAGAAGACTCAAAGTGAGTGACATGCCTTCAGTGCACCTGGATATAAGTGCTGAGCTGGTGAACACAGTCTTGCCCTATTGGAGTTCATAGCTGCTGCCTGAAAAACATAGACTATTAAGTTCTGAGCAGGCCACTAAGAGCTTTCTGAACATTCTTGGTCCCTAGAGAGGCAACATGTTTCCTAGAACTTGATCAGGAGGGACTTGCTCAACCATTTAAGTTCCTGTTTTTATATCTGTGCCCCTGGGAATAGCTAACCTCAAGTTCTCTGCTGACATAGGCTAAGCACTGCTTCAAATCTCTCTGAAACCCTTTGCCAACGTCATTTATCCATTCTGACTGCTAAATTCCCCCACTGGCTCCAAGAAGACCCCTGAATTGGGAGCTGCCTTACAGCCAGACAGATTGGTTTATGGTCCTACAAAGTTAAGCGTGATATACATGTGCTAGGGGAACATGGAGATGTGCATTAAGAAGAAACATTACCTTTTGATCCGGGCAGGAAAGCATACATAATCTCTTCTAGGGCTTGTGAAAGACTTCATTTTACACATAAAATTGTGTGGAATTGCCCTGTACTGCACTGAACATGGTTTTTCAAAATAACCAGCCTCGAAACAAGCTGTTGTACGCTAGTGAGGGCCTCCAGCCACAGAGAATAAAATGTAAGCAGGTGTAATCTGTGTGAAGTTACGGGAACAAACACACACTCTTGTTGACACAGTTACCTGTATGGGACAGATCCTAAGCCCTACAATGGTATGTCGTTAGGAACAGAGTCCAAAATGGGTGTGGTACTCATGAACGAAATATGAAACTGAAGGACCTGACAAGGCATAGAAATTTTTTAATTACATATAGTTTTTAATGGTATAAAGGGTTTTTCTCTGCTGTGCAATATAAAACTCTCTTTTCACAGTCTTGAGTAAAAACCCATATCTGGTGAGTATGGGGAAGCGACCAAAAATTTAAAACATAAAACTAAACTAAAGTGGGGTTTTAGCTATTTGAGAATTTACTAATCTGAATATTTGACCAAAAGCATCACTTTGGACCTGGTTAGTTCTATAAAAATACATAAAGCTTTGCTGAGAACTTTAAGACAAAATAAGACTTTGGGTATATAAGAAGAGAAATTGTGGATATTTACGATGCTCAATACAGCTTCTAGTTTAAAGTGCCCTGCTAGTCAAGCACAATAAGTAAATCACATATAAAAAATCTAAAGGAAAGATCTTCTGCACATTACGGGGAAATTGTTGGCATCTTATGATGGGTCATCTAACCCTTGTTATTAAATGACAGCAATCATTAAAATGCCAAACATATTTTGACAGAATTCACTTTATAAAATGTCAGCAAGTCTGTGTTTTTATTAGTTTGCTCCAAATCAATTTAGAAATTTCAATAGAATGCTTGTAAGTATTCCCCAAGCAATGTCCACTCCTGACTTTCTGCACACACACAAATATTACAAATTAATCAGATTTTCAGATTTCTGCATAATGGCTTTGCACATTTATTGCTTAATCCTGTTATGAAATGCCATTATGATTGACACATCGCAGTGGAGATAGAAGTCAATTGAATAATATGTAGCAGTCAATTTTATTTGTATCTTAATGTGCTGAAGTATTTTTCCCCCACATTTCCATTATTTATAAGTCTGCCCCTTTGGAGAATATATAGGAGAATTTGTTCTAAATGAGCCAATAATACCTCTTTAAAATTTATAAATGTGACAGAGTCATATCTTTTTTTTTCTTGGTCATCCATGACATGCCAGTACACAGAGTTGTCTTCCACTTGTATTCATAGGATAAATTTCTGGACAGAGAGTCTTGTTAAAGGTGGCATGGAATTGGGTTTCAACCACCAACAAAATAAAAGCTACCGGCTAAAATCCTTCAAAGTTCACGGCTAGCTCTATTTGTTTATTTACTTGTGTATTTATTGTCCTGCCACTGTCTTACCTGCTATATGCGTTGTCCTGAAAAAAAAAAAAAAAAAAAAAAAAAAAAAAAAGCACCTAAGCCCACACAGAGAAGCGATAATGTTTAAGAAGGCTCAAAAGTGCTGCTGTTTGGGTGGCACTTCCTATCCTATGCTTTGGTGTCCAACAGGATTTCAGCAAAGGAAGTAAGTTGTGTTCCATGCTCAGAGGTTGTGTAGGGTTCTTATTGCTTCAGGTAGCACCAGGAAGAGACCCATATTCTTTTTTTAGGACATCACATATGGTGACATTGAAAAAGGCTTTGTTTCTAGGAAACACACATGTGAGATTCGTTTCCTGACGGTGTATGGAGAAGAGCGGAAGTGTATGAAGTCATATGAAGGAACAGTGTGATTGTACTTGGTCATGTCTGAGACCATGCTGTCTCTGGCTTTGGAGAATCAGATTAGCTGTCTCCCACCTATGCGTAAGGCATGGAGGCATGGAACAGACTGACATACATCAGTGTGAGGTTTGGGGGGATGAGAAGAGATAAACCAAAGACTTATGTACATATATGCATAGCCCATGGACACAGGCAATAGGGGGTGAAGACCTGGGTGGGTCGGTAGGTGGGTAAAAGACAGTAAAGTGGGAGACATTTGTAATGTTATCCACAATAAAAAATATATATTTAAATTTTTAAAAAGGATGCAGTTTCCCACATAATCCATGCCTTGGTGTACCCTGTGCAAACTGATGTGTAACACAAGCCCATTGGCACCACTGTCGATAATGTCACTCTCCCTGCAGTCATCGCTTGCTACTTCCTGGAATAACTTGGGCCATGCTGTATGGTCCTTAGGAAAATGTATGTAGACGGGCGATGTGAGTGCTGGTGCTTTGATAACCCACTCTGGCAAGTCATCTGTGCCTTGATGCTATGGGGTGTCTCGGGAAGAGGGGTCTTGTGCAGTTCCCAGGCTGGCTTGTGTATTAAAGGAGCACTTCTCTTTTGGATTCCAGGGGCCAGAGGAAACCCAGCACTATCAGACCCAGGCACTCCTGACCACCCCCAGGCCAGTCAGACCCACCCGCCATTCCCGGTGGGGCCACAGGTCAGTATCTCTCAAGTGCTTTCCATTAGGCTGTATAGATAGAATGATTTAACTATATAAAGAAGCAAGTAAATAATAATGAGTTCAATCCAATTAACTCCAACGGAGAAAAGATGGTGATTAATATTTGTATGGGAAGCTGTATGACTACCTTATTTATTAGATACCATCAAGAAGAAGTGAGTTGGCAGAAATTTTCTCTTTTTTTACAGGAAATGTTCATTTTAATCATCTGGAACCCTGTTTTCTTTTTCTTCTTAAGACCCACTACAACTGAGCTGTTAGTTACTGTGCAGTTTTCTAGAAAGTAAAACTTTAATGACCGGAGTGTGAAGAAAATTAAGTTATTTCAACCTTACTATAGCCATTTTTGCAATATAAGACATAACTTAATATAACAAAGTTAATGCAATTTTAATGCAAGTTCAGCTTATTGGGTTTGACAATACTGTACATCACATACAGCCCTGCATTAATAAAGAAATACATTCATTATTTTTTAAAAAGTCTAATATTTGTGGGGGGTTTTTGCAGCCCATGGTTACATGGAGAGCATGGAGATATAGAACACAATTATAAAAGGCTGAGCTTTTTTTTTCCTTTTTACCTCTGTTATTTAGTGTGAAGCTTTCAGAGTTCACCCTAATTGATGGGAAAAGAGGCTGATCTTCGAGCCTTTCTCTCTCTTTTTTTGTTATGTTTTGTTCCTAGAAATTTATCACTTTCAGTACTTTGAGGGCTCACCAGCTCAAGGCTTGAAAACCCAAGTTTAGAACATGGGTTGTCTTGACTTTCTTGTTCCAGTGCCACCAAGTTCCATGATAGCCTCAAATCCCACTGTCCATATTGGAGCACAAGGGTGAGAGGACAGGAAGCTATGAGAGGGGTCTGCAGAGGGAGGAGGTCAGGGGGAAGTAAAAGAGGGCAGGGCAGTAATCTGAGAGCTACTGGCCAGCTACTGGTGCACAAATTTGTGCACAGGGCTACTAGTAATATATAAGTGTAAGCTATTATTATTTTTAAATATATTTTATTGATTTTGCACAGAGAGGAATTGAGAGGGATAGAGAGTTAGAAACGTCGATGAGAGAGAGTCATCGACCAGCTGCCTCTTGTACACCCCCCACTGGGGATGTGCCTGCAACCAAGGTACGTGCCCTTGACCAGAATCCAACCTGGGTCCTTTCAGTCTGCAGGCCTACGCTCTATCCATTGAGCCAAACCGGTTTTGGCTGTAGAACTCCTTAGAGGATGTTAGAACCAAATGGAATTTTCCAAAAATATAAATAAATGTGATTTTCTTTTTTCTTTTTCCCTATCAGTCAACTTATTTTTTTTTTCCTGGACCAGAGTATGTTTCTTCACTACTTGTTCAGGAACTTTTTGACCCCACATAAGTAGAAGAAAAATTTGCTCTAAAAGCCCATGCCTTGGTTCCAATGGAAAGTGATCGAGGATTATGTTTCCTTGCAGCCACTTCTGACGGCACAGCAGTTAGCCTCAGCTGTCGCTGGTGTGATGCCAGGGGGCACACCCGCCCTGAACCAGCCTATTCTCATCCCTTTCAACATGGCCGGACAGCTTGGAGGGCAACAAGGACTCGTCCTCACACTACCTACTGCGAATCTCACCAACATCCAAGGGCTGGTAGCAGCAGCTGCAGCTGGAGGCATTATGACCCTGCCATTGCAAAATCTACAAGGTAACCCACTGTGTCTGTGTGCCACGTAGGGCTGGTGTTCATTGCAGTGGGCAAGTACTCTGAATATTGAATGTAGTTCAGAGCTGTTTCTTCTATACAGGATATAAGAGGCTTTTGTAGGGAGCAAAGTATCAAGTTGTCTTGTGAGTCCTTAGCTTGCTCAAGCCCTGGGCTTTATGAGTTCTCATTTCCTACGATTAATTTCAGGTCTGCTGGAAGCATTTATGAGCTATCATTGCATGACATAAAAATTTACATGTAAAATTATTATGTTGTTATTTGAAGACTTGAATTATGATCTCAGGAGTTCTTCAATTTGGTCATCTTCCAAGAAAGGTTAGACATGACTGCTTTGTGTAGGAGATGGTTGGAACATCTCAACAAGGTATTGTTTGGAATAATTAGTTTAATTATTATTTGCTTACTAAGTATATTTTAGTTATAATTATTTTTAAAATTATATTATTTGAGATCATAGTTTATAATAAGAAAAGTAGAATTCGAATATTGAGTCTTTCTGTTGCATGAGCATATAGCAAAAGTTGGACTCTAACTTTACTCAGAAAGCGTGTTATTCTTGTTAGTATGAAGATTTTTTACTTTTATTTAAAAGATTTTATAACAATAATCGATAAACTGACTTACAAATGAGTCCTAAAGAGGAAAAACTTGGTTAGGATGCTTAACAAAGAGAAAACATTTATTTTTGATTAGTCAAATATATTTGTTTTCTGCATTGATATAAATGTTAACGACTAAGTTTTTTTCTGCAGAGTGAGAGTTTGGTTGGGTAAGTTTTTAGAACAACAATATGAAGTACTTTTTAGTTGATCAAATGTTAGGGTTCCTTATAACCAATTAAATTGGTCATAGCATCAGTCCACAGATTAAGAAATAGACCAAGTAAGAACTGGTTAACTCTTGACCCAAATTTCTTTACACACTATTATGTTCTAATATCCCATCCACTGTTGCCACTTCTTGACTTTTACTTTAATGTAAAACAAAGTCTTTTTTATACCATTAAACTGTGCCAAGAAAGCTGCCATTCATAAATCATACATGCCCAGGACACATTAATGCACAAACTTTGCTTGTTTCAAATTTGAGAGTGCCTGGGAAGCTAGGATCTCAAGATTAAGCAAATAAGGCAGGAATAAACAAGTTGAAAGCAGCAGCAGCAAAGTGTAGGGAGAAGCTTTTTAATGTAGGTGGATGATGAAATCTTAATGAAGAAATAGCCATTATCTAAATGCAACCTTCCATTTGGAACATTGGCGCGTATGGGAATATTGGATATTATAAATAAACATAAGCTTGTGGAGCTTGGTTGTAGGACATGGATTAGTCCTGCTTGGTTAAAATAGACACCAAAGTAGAGTCCAAAAAAACAGGCTTGTTATGTCTTTATTACAGTTTGGTATTCTTAAGGCTTTATTACTTTGTTATTTTAAGGGTTCAGGATTAGCAACTGGTCCAGTATGAACTTCCATCAAGATGTTCCTTTTCTCTCTTTCTCTCTCTCTCTCTCTCTCTCTCTCTCTCTCTCTCTCTCTCTCTCAATATCCATTTTAGTATTAGCTTATAGTATGGAATTTGGCTCTTTTTGGCATCTTTGGTTTCAGAAAATGATCCCAAGGTCCTCATTAAGTGCTGTAAGTTCAGTAAAAGCTCTAGCTCTTTTATCCGTTGGTGCTGCTCATCGTTTCCCTATGGCCGCATCTTCAGAAGTGTATGGGAGTTGATGGTCAAGCTGGTCTGGGAGCTTTTTCAAAGTTCATTTGGAAACTCCAACTATCTCTGGATTCTGAGCATCTCAGGGTGATGGTGAGTCATGTGACTGAAAAGGGCCCTCATTAATGTTATTGTGCCTAACCACCCCAGGCCTCTAAAAGGGAATAGTGAGTGAACAGAATAATTTATTGGTAATATTCTTCCTTCTGTTCTGTCCCCAAAACCAAGGGGTGTTCTCTTGCATAACTGAAGCATTACTGAAACGATTGCTCCAAGGTCTTATCCAGCAAAAGCTTTCCGTTGCTGAAAAAGAAAACCCATCTGCATGGCCTGTGGCTGTTTTCCCTTCTCCTCTGATCTTCCCATTCAAGAATGAGATGCACTCTTGTCTCATCAATGATGGGATCTTCCTGTACGAAAACAGATGGGAGTAGGGAGTTAAAAATCTTGCAGAGTTTTAGGGATAGCCCTGTATCCCTGCCTCCGTGCTCATGGAATGAGACTTGGGGATTAGACAATCCAGTGAACCAATGGGCTGCAAGCTGTATCATTCTCCCCTCTGAGCAGGCAGAGGCTGATCTCCATGTCCAGAGTGACTAAAACCTATCTCCTCAGCCTGCTCCTCCTCTTGCCTGTCCTGTACCATATTAGTTGACTTTTGACTAACCCCTCATTTTGGGCCACTCATGTCCCATTTTGTCTCCTTCGAGAATATGCATCTTTCCAAATCATGTACCTTTAGGAAATTTCCAGTGCAATCCTTATCTCCACGATTATCTAAAATTCCCCACAACTCGAGTTCCGGTTGGACCGAGTCTTTCCATTCCAGGCCGCCTCATCAGTCACTGGCCAGACTAAAGATTGACTGTTCCATGTTGAAGTGTCTACCTGTAATGTGAAGGGTGTGGGAGGGGAAGCCTGGATGACATGGCGTGGAACACGGGCAACATGTTTAAGAAACATGCTTGGGCCTCCCTCATCAATGGAAGGGGCTCTGAACAGTACAGACCTGTAAGGACCTCCTATAGGCATAAACTGAGACTGAGACTAACCCTGAAGTCAAAGACATGTTAAAGGTGGGGTCTAGGTTCTGAATATTTTAAGGGAAGCCAGTTGGAATTCTGACTTGAATTCAAGCCCAGAAGTGCCCCAAACTCAGATAAGACATAGGAATGAAGTAGGTGAAGTTCGTGTTCTCTCCCGTCTTACTTCTGAGAACCTTTTCCCTTTCTACATACCTCCCACTATCACTACTTTGTATCCTTTTTCTACTGAGTGCTCATGGGGATTTGGTATTAGGTGACTGTCAGCAAACCCATACCTGTCAAATAAGACTAATGATGACAATAAACCTCAGATGAAGAAAATGGCTAAGTGTTCTCTGTCACATACTTTATAAACTTCTTTATAAAGCAGTGTCTTCCATTTTACTTATTACTTTGAAACACAGATAGCTGTACTATAAATGTAATTTGTATTTGCCCTACTATGGAAACTAGATGATTATTTAATGTGATAAAACAAAGTCCTCATTGTAGAATTCATGCAAATGTGTTGGACTTTGTGTGTGTGTGTGTGTGTGTGTGTGTGTGTGTGTGTGTGTTGCTTTTTTAAAATTATTATTAGAGGAGAAAATGTAGATAAATATAGCCTCAGTACAAGTGACCACAATTAGCAAAGGGGTTAGTGGGGCAGCAAAGGTAGGTCTACATTTAGGATAGATGATTCAGGGTAGTGACTTGTTCTCATCTCCCAGGCCAGGTGGAATAACCCGCTAATCACTAAGGGCAACATAAATGGAGAATATAAATGTGCTACCTAGGAGATTTATGTCAAATTATGAACATTCCAGTTAACTCCAGCACAACACTTAAATTAATTACCAAGAAGTATATTAGAGAGTGCTGCTTACCTTAGAGCTTGGAAAAGCAATTAGATTCAAAGAAAGTTGAAACTCAAGGCCAAGGATAGTTTCTCCTACCCTTAGCACTGGATTGAAACTTGCCTCGGATTTCTGTGAGTCTCCAAATTAAAGGCTGTGCCAAGTAAAGTATGTGGGACTAATTTTGAGATTAGGAATTTCATGTGCAAGTTACATATTTCCTTTTTGTTTGCTTTGTTGTTTTAACTGAGGTGTTATTTATATATGATAAAATTCACGAATCTTAGGTGCTCAGCTCAATGAGTTTTAATAATTGTGTATACCCTGCAACCTCCATCCACCACAGTCAGTACATAACACATTTCGTTTTCTCCAAAATGTTCCCTTTTGTCTCTTTGCAGTCAATACCTCTCTCTAATAAGGCAGCTCTGATCTGCTTCCTGTAACTGTGCATTAGTTTTGTCTGTTCTAGAACTTCATATAAATGGATCTGTGCAGTATATATTCTTCCATGCCTGGCTTTTCTTGCTGGGCATAATGTCTTTGCGATTCACTCATGTTGTTGTGTATTATAGATCTGTAGTTTCTTTCATTTCCAGGTAGTGTTCCATTGTAAGAATATGCCACACTTTGTGTATCCATAGCCATTCCTGTGTCCCAGTAGGCAGACTTCCTGCTGGCCCTCTCCCCTGGGGAGATTGAGTGCCTCTGGGGAAGACCCTTGTCTGCACTGCTGGAGACCCTTCCCTGCTCATTATCTTCCTGGGCCACATCTGAAGAAAAATTTGAGGAATATACATTTCTTTGTAGGCCAACAGTTGCTTGAAGTTTTTAACAGTTAAAGATTTGTAGCTTCCTTGGGAATCTAGTTCTCTCAGAATCCAAGAATGCTTCTGATCCTTTTGCTTTTTAGTCAGTTCCATGTGCCAAAGGTTTTTCCAAGACATACATCTTCAGTCTAATTTATGTTGCTTTCTCACTTCTACACCTCTCTCTCTTGCAATTCAGTCAACCTTGATGTGAGGGTTCCTGGCTTCCCTGGTGCTTTTTGAATATACTCCTACCCAGGAACCCTTTGCTCAGGCTGTGCCCTCTGCCTGAAGCACTCTTTCCCCGGAAAGCATCAAACCTATCATCTTCCTTGTACCTCAGCCCCAGTACTTCTGTTCCCTCAAATATTAAAAATAACGGTTGAGTACAAAACTACTAATAAAATGAAAGCTAGGAAACTCCTCGTGGAAATGAGAAACTCAGATTGTCCCATTTAAGAACGTGTTGATGGCTCTGTTTCTCAGAAGCAAATGCTAACACTAAAATAAAGATTTCACATGCACACCATTTTGATCCCAATTGTTTAAAAGAAGCCCCTCCCCAATACACCACA